CTCACCTGGGGGAATGACGCGCCACCTCACCTTCCCGTGACGACGCCTCACCAGCGCGCGACGTCACCTCACCTGTGGGAATGACGCGTCACCTCACCTTCCCGTGAGGACGCCTCACTAGCGCGCGACGTCACCTCACCTGTGGGAATGACGCGTCACCTCACCTTCCCGTGACGACGCCTCACTAGCGCGCGACGTCACCTCACCTGTGGGATGGAGAGCTCGGTGATGCCCTGCAGATTCTCCTGCCAGTTGCCGAGCTTCAGGTAGCACTTGGCGAGTAGCTCCTTCATCTCGCTGCAGTGCTCAGCCTCCTCGGGAGCAACGAGCTGTCTCACCTCGCTATGCAGCGACGTCTGGATGAAGTGATGCAACTGCCTGCAGGCGCGGGGCGACGAATCAACGATTAGTTAACGATCAACATTGAATTAATTACATTAATTCATGAAGTGGTGCCACTGTCTGGCAGTGGGCAATCAACGATTAGTTAACGATCAACGTCGAATTAACTGAATTCCTTGAGCCTGCCTTCTGGCTACTACCACTACTAACGATAACAAATTTTAGCAAAAATAGTTGGCTAATAATTATAAATAACAATAATTATTGAAATTAGCAACAATAAATAACAACAACAACAACAATAATAATAATTATAAGTATAATAATATTTAAAAGAATAATAACAACAACAACAACAATAACAACAACAACCAACGAGCGCGAGGCAGCGTGGCGCGGAGGTTACCTGAACGCAGCCTCCTTCTGGTTCTTCTCGTACATGTGCTTGATGTAGGCGAACGTGACGTGCGGGTAGGCGGTGTGCAGCGCCGTGTCCTCGGGCTGCCGGCTCGGGTCGACAACCATCAGCGTGACGAGTGTCTTCGACGACAGGCCCAGCCGGCCGCTCTTACGACACAGGCTCGCGTACTTCAGCCACGTTCGCATGTCCTCCTGCGGCGTCACCACCAGGGAGCGCACCTGTTGGGGGGAGGGCGGTTGGGGGGGGAGCAGACGTCGTGAGAACATGAACATGCGCGTGTCGGAACGTTGGTAAATGTAGGTGATACACACACACGCACGCGCACGCACGC